CGAACCATGTAGACTGTAGTAAGTAGCTGGAAGAGAGTTAGTTGGCCATAGAAACCATAATGGGAAGTTGCAATTGTAACTGGCTGACCACATAAGTCATAGTTGGTAGTTGCAGCATGTACAAGCATTACTTGGCGACACAGGCCGTAATGGGATGCTATAGTAGTAACTTGCCAAATAAGTTGTATCTTATAGCTAAGATAGTGTCAGATGGCTGCAAAGATCTTAATTGGAAGTTATAATAGCAACTGACTATAGAGGTTAGAGTGGGAAGTCACAATAGTAGCTAGTCAAATAGGTCATAGTTGGTGCCACACCTGTTGGCGGTTGCAAACCTTCTCCAAGTTTGTTATTTTGTGTTGGAGATAACACATTTTTTGTATATGATGTATTGAAAAATTTAGGAGTTTCAAGAAAGATCATATTCTAAATACGATGGTCGTAAGCAGTTATCTCCAAAAGTTATTGTTGGATCATTAATTTGATGTTATTCATTATATTGTATTTAGGATAGTTCGTTACACCGTATTAAGAATATTTTATTATACCATATTTGGGATATTTCATTACACCAAAATTAAAATATTTCATTACGTCGTATTTGTGATACTTCATAAGCAAACGGTCATCGATGATGGTAAGGAACGGCTGGCGGGAGGTGGTTAACTATGGTTAGTAGCTATGAAGGCTAGGATGTTATCATCGGACCTTCTGTCCAGTACAACACTAGAATTTGACTCTTTCTCCTCTCCTCTCAAGTGAAGAGAGACGGTCTATTTATTACCTCTAGGGGAGGAGTATTTTGGTCTTTTGGCGAATAACTCCTGCAACCATTTGATTGGACGACCCATATTGATCTTCCTTGTTCATAAGGCAATTTTTTATGATTTAAGAGCCTTAATTACCTCAAATTGAGCGAGCTTAGATTTCTCTCATAAAGACACTCAATTTGACTATTAAGTATGTTAAGTTTGGAGTTAATTTGACTATTCAATTAACGATCCATAACCTCTAAATGCGCTTTAATGACTTATTTGGACTTGATTCGATTTAAATTAAACAATTTTGGTATCATCGAGCTCTTCTCGTCGAGACGATCGGTTTGACTTGAAACTTATATACTGTTCACTCTTTGGTTAATTCCAACAAACCTCGTGTTATATATATACATATATATAGATGTATGTATATATACATATGTATATATATATAGATGTATGTATATATATATATATATATA